TACGGACGTTATTCACTTTAGGCAGGCACCGGTATTTTTGTTGATATTATACTCGGCGGCGTCGCATGTGTCGCGATGGAACGAAAACCCGTAGGTAAACCCTAACGTTGCACGTCGCGCCTAATTGAGAAATGATAAAATTAAAATTGCAATGCGCAACACGTAGACGCCCAATAAATGTCGTACGGCCATCGGCTTAATCGCGAACGGGTTTGGTCTTCTAACGCCCCTTTGTAAACACATTGCGGACGCGGTGAAATGCGAATTCGACAAAGGATGTGCGCGCAGCGCCCGTTAATAGTACCGCGGTCGCCGGGCAACCGACAGTCGCCCGCTGTACAAACGATTGTTTAAGCCCCCGGATTCCGCGAACGGTTCGCGTATTATTCCGGCGTGTTTACTGGAACGAGCAAACAGAAGCGGTTTCGGGCGGCCGTAATCTCACTACGGTCGTGCGCGCCGACACTGTCTGGCGCGCGCGCGCGCACCGCGTACCGGCGTACGAGCGAAATCGCGAGCGACAAATATCCGCCCTGGGACGACGCCGCCGCGCGCTCGGCCGAACGTCGCGTTTTACACGCCGCCGCGCGCTCGGCCGAACAATTGCCGCTCCGGTCACCGGTTGCCGGGCGTCGCCGCAAAACGCCGAGGACACACGCGTGCACAACGCGACGCGGGCGGCGCTCGTGCGACGGTCGCTGCGTTCCGGCGGGCCGGTACCGCGCGCGGATTTCCAATAACCAGACGTCCGGTCGTCGCGGGTCGGCTCTGCTAGCGCGCACCCGCGTCAAAATTAGTCCGGGGAAAACCGCGGCGGCCGGCGCGACAGCACGCGAAACGCGCCGCGGATCACGCGCTCGCATACGGCGTTCCGTTCCCGCGTGAACAACCGTTCGGTGTTATTGCGGGCGGGACGGTGACGTAACGGCAATTTTGCCGGCCGATCGAAAGACGCGACGCGCAAATTTATTTGCCCGTCTATTTTTTTTTTTTTTTTCTCTAGAATGAACGTGCTCTGTTTGAAATTACGTCATAGACGGCG